CTTCAGACTTTCTGCATTCATATTTTGGACGAACTGTAGTGCACAGCTCAGATTCGTAAAATAGTAACCTAGAAAATTAAAAAAAATGAGCAGCTGCTTGTTATCGTATTTTACAAAAAGGCGTTTTTTTTTTGCACATGTATATTTTTGGCAAATCTAGAAAATGCGAGGAATTAAAGTCTATTTGCATTTGAATAAATCGCTGCAGAAATAATTTTGACAAGTAAAACCAGTGGATAAGAACCTGATTCACCACTCATGACTCTGTTGGGCAGCGCAAATCGACTGATAAATTTAACATTGGACTGAATCAGTGGTGGATTGCCTTTCAGAATTACATAAATCAGCACCGGCAGATACTCGTCAGCACTTGCTGGGGCTCCTTAATTACAAAAACGAACTTTTAAGCACACTTAAAAAATATATTTAACTCTGCCACCAATGGTAACACCTTAAGCTAGTGAAAAATATATCCGGCGAAACGAACACAGGTCTCATAGACTGCCCAGATCGTGATTAAAAAAACAGATAAAATCATAAAAACAGTCTGTACTTTCTCAGCAATTATAAACATTACGTAAGCTCACGCAGCTCGAGAACAGAAAGTGAGGGAAACTTAAGTGCGGTATAAATAATGCTTGCAGAGAGTGCCGTCCACACTGAAGCCTAGCTTCTCAGATTGAGTGCGAATGCAAATGAAGACGAAACTGTGCGCAGCTTCAGCAAAAGACAGAAAGACGAAACGTGGCTGAAGGAGCCTAAAGCGGAAAGCAAACAAGGCCGAAGGATCGGAGCAACGGGGGGAAGTTGCTAAGACAGAAATCGTCGAGGAGACTGCGAATCTAATTTGAGGAGAGCAAACCCATGAGAAGTCAAATTAGACGGAAATCAGAAGTACCTGAGCGGCTTTCTTTAAGTGCTTCAAAGATCATTTTGGAGCAGCGAACCAAGCACTGCAGCTTCTCGGCAGCTCCACGATGACTGTTTAAATCGATAATTTCCGTAATGGCTTCATCCAGTTTATCACGAACCTAATAATTAAAATTTATCACTTACAGGTTCCTCCTACATTTAAACTTGGATCAGCTATCATGCATCTTCTGATTCCTCAACTTTTCTGTCGTTAATTTTTTCATTTCTCTGATCGATACTTTACTGCCTGATGGTCAGCCTGCTGGCGATCCTCGCGTTCGCTTGGTATTTTCAAATAATTACCAGTTCAGTGGTTTCCCCAATAGATGTACAAAAGTATACGAACTAAAAGAAGCAAATGCTAGGCAAATCACCTACCGATTCTTGACCAAAATCCAGTGTGGTTTCAAGGAAGCCTGACGTAACCCAGTTTAACGACCGTATTCTATCTTGCAGCGATAAGTCAGCAATTTCTTCGTCTGCTCTAAAAATATCATAACCGCGACTTGCTCCTGGGCTGTCTGAATAAAAACTCGGGCATAAACAAAAAATGCTTTCTTGTTGCTAAAGCCAGCTTAAAGCAAAGAATGCAATTCCCGGGGGAAAATGTCACACACTTATTGAGAACCAGCGAGACGCAAGCATGTTAAACGATCAGATTTGCAAAGTGTAAAATTCGAAAAATCCACCGACTCCAAAAAATTCGATTATTTAGTTATTTTGCTACAATCCTAGATAATTTAC